CCTCCCTCTCTCTCTCTCTTTCTTTCTCTCTCTCTCTGTCTCTCTCTCTCTCTCCCCCCTCTGTGTGTGTGTGTGCACATGCGTGTGTGTGAACTCTTACACCTTCATCAGTAAAATAGGGAAATCATACCAGTATCTTATTGTTTCAAAGGTTTTTGGAATAATGTATATGGAAACCTTGACCTTCAGGGTCTACCGTTAGTGACACTCTTTTCTTGCCATTTTCTGGAGTCTTCAAGGAATAAAAAGTGTCCTCCTGGAAAAGGGAAAACACTCTACTTAGAGTCTGAATTTGCAGGTTTGGCCTAGAGTCAGCTTTCTACCCCCCCCCCCCAGCTCTTCTCCTGGGACTGCTGTGAGGATAAAACAACATCGTAAACGTGCTGGCTTCAGAAAAAATGGCCTTGTCAATACAAGATGTGCTCAACTGTGACGTTCCACATTGGTCTGATCTATTAACATCTGCTCTCAACAATGAAGGGACTAGCTCTGCCCAGAGCTGTGTAAATTCTGAAAACTGAATTAGCCACATGACCCGACTTAGGGTTTCTATTGCTGTGGAGAGACACCATGACCTGGCAACCCTCATAAAGGAAAACATTTAATTGGGACTGGTTATAGGTTCAGAGGTTTAGTCCATTATCATTATGATGTCACAGAAGGAGCTGAGAGTTCTACACTCAGATCAGCAGACAGCTGAAAGAGATTGTGAGCCACTGGGCCTGGCTTGAGCTTCTGAAACCTCTAAGTCCAAATAACGCCACTCTCTATGAGCCTGTGGGACCCATTCCTAACCAAACCACTACATTCTCGCTCTCAGGCAAAATGCATTTAGTCCAACTCTTAAAGTCCCCATAGTCTATCACAGTCTCAACACTGTTTAAAAATCCATGGTTCAAAGTCTGTGAGGCTTGTGGGCATGGCAGTCTCTTAACTATAACCCCTGTAAAATCAAAAACGAAGAAGCAGATCACATATTTCCAACATACAATGGTAGGGGATATACGTTATCATTCCAAAAGGAAGAAATGGGAGCACGGTGAAGAAAGACTGGACCATACCAACACTGAAAACTAGCCAGGCAAACTCCAAATTCTGTATCTCTATGTTTAATGTCTAAGTGCTCTCCGACTCCTTTTAGCTTTGTTGACTGCAACACACTTCTCTCTCTCTCTTGTGCTGGTTTCCAGTTCCTGTTAGCAGCTTCTCTAATGGTTCTGCCATCTCCAACATCTTGTGGTTCCAAGGCAATCCAGGCTTCACCTTCGCAGCTTCACACAGTAGCCTCTGTAGGCCTCTATGCAGAGACACCTCTGACACACAACTGATCTCAACAGCTTTCTTAGCCGTGGAGGGAGATTCCACAACCCCTTTCTTTTATCCTTTACTATAAAGCCACAGCCATGTGGCTAAAACTGCCAACTTTTGCTACTTGCTGTAACCATTAATTATACCCCATCACCTTTCTGCTTTTTAATAGTTTTCTTCACTGCCTAAGCTTGGTTGTCCTGGATCTCCATCTGTAGATGAGACTGGCCTTGAACTCAGAGATCCACTTGCCTCTGCCTCTGGAGTGCTAGGATTAAAGCTTTTCTTCAATTCCTTTTCACGGTCGGTCCTTTAATTACTTTTCTCAGGCTTAGCCAGGTAGGGTCTTGCCCTGAGCTCACCACTTCCTTTATTCTATTTAGCATTAGGCTTTTCTCCAATCTTTGTTTTGTCTTGAGCACTGGACTTGATTCTATTTCGATTTTTGGTGCTCTTTTTCTCCCCCAATTGTACATTTTGTATTTTCCTTTGCTCGGCTTGCTCCTTTTCGTTATAGATCATCTATATGAAGCATGGAACATCTATACTGCGCCCCCTTTCCCAAGAGTGGGGGCAGAGGGAACGTAAGGGCCAGAGGTGGTGGGTGATTACAAGGAACCATTGTCTTCGAGACACAGCAGGACACATATGAATGCACAGGGGCTGTGACATCACACATAAAACCTGTGCAAGCTTAAGCAAGATCAAATCTCAGCTCGGGGATTGGAGTGGGGCACAAACCCACCCCTAGCCTTTTAAGTATTAACAGTTGTCAGCTACTGGGAGAGGGAGGGACAATTTCCTCTAAGAACATAGTCCTTGGTAAGTCAACCAGGCTCTGGGGGAAGATCACACATCCAAGAGAATTTGGGTAGCACAAAATTGTTTTGATGGGCTAAAAAACAGAAAAGACACAAAGCTGGGTGAATATCTTTGAAAATATGGGGACATGAATATGATAAACAATAAAATTCTCAAAGGACAAGTAAAATATTGTTTTTAAAGTAGAGGGTTCATTCTGGAAGAACAAAGTAAGCATGACACGGAGGCGGCACACCTTTAATCTCAGCACTTGAGAAGCAGAAGCAGGTGAGTTTGAGACCAGTAGAGTCTATATAGTGAGTTCCAGGCCAGTAAGAACTGCATAGTGAGACTTTGACTCGAAAAACAAAACACAACAAAACCAACAGACAAACAAAGAAAAACAAAGGGAAAAGGAAGGAAGGAAACTCTAATTTGTACCATTTGTTGATTTCTATGGTATTAATTTAAACGGAGGTAATTCCTAGCTCCCACCGTGAAAACATGAACGCAGAGCTGAGAACACACCACACCCAATTCACCATTATGAAGTTGGATACAGGAGGCAGGAGACGAGAAAACAAAGAGAACTAAGGACCAGTTTTCCTCTAACGCCAGCTCTTTCTACACTAAGGCCTTTGGGGAGGTCAAGAGTAGATTATCTGTGATTATGACAATGGATTCCAAAAGCATCAGCCTGGGGACGAGTAAGAGAGTTTGGTGGATAAGGATGCTTGCTGCATAGGCCTGGCAACTTGAGTTTAATAACTGGATCCCACATGATGGAAGAAGAAAGCTGGTTCCTAAGTGTTGATCTTTGCCTTTCACATGCACAACTGTGGCAGGCACCTCCCACCACACACACACACACACACACACACACACACACACACACACACACACACCCCTAGCCTCACCTTTCAAAGTCTCCTTGTGAGCTCTGATCATAGCACTTTCTAGTGTTCTGTTCATGGGAGTTCTTTCTTCCATCCCTTCTCCGTAACAAACTTTACACACAAGTTCTAAATCGAAGGCAGCAGAGAGCTAACTTGATTCTGCCCCACTGTGCCTGTCAGGAAAATGGGCCATTGGTCAGTGGCGTCTGCTCCATCAGCCTGTGACTTTAGCTCCAGGTCTGACTTGCAGAAGTATTCAGTGAGATTATGGAAGGAATCAGAAGTAAAAGTCTTATCATTCCGTGCAAAGTAAGTTACAAACATAAGTTGAACTCCAGATTCCCTAATTTGCAGGTGGTCTACCCAATGTCCATTTGTTTTCTTAGGACCCAAGAAAAATTTACCAGACAGATCTGTTCAGAAAACTTGTGACACCCACTTCCTGGAAACAGCTTAGAAAAAAAAAGAGGTGGGGGGGGAATCACACTTCTTCCCCAAGCCAGGGTTTGACTGATGTGACATCACAGCCCCTTTCCCAACTCCCATGGGTCTGAACACCTGACTTAGGCTTCTCAAGAACAACGAAGTGATAAAGTGATTTAAGCCTGATCAGATATGAGCAATCCTGGAGACTCAAGTAGAGAGAAAAAAAAAAAAACCCTCAGTTGAGACAGGAAGCTGGTTCAGGAACTTGTCAGCAGAGGCAGCACTGCTATCAGAGCTTCTGCCTGGGGGCTAACAGTAAGCAGCTGCCCTGCTGAGCTCCCGGCCAGGCACCTGTCCCTCTCTTTGCTGGCTAATGGATCCCAACGGATCCCTTTCCTTGAGAATACTTCTGTTTCTCGCCATGGCTTTTGAGTTGAGCGCTGGAACAGGTGAGTGTTCATTTGTTTAAAGAGTTGAGTCCTGTGTTTAGCAGTTTGGAATCAGCAGAGCCTCATGGATAGAGAAGATAACAGTTGGGGAGTGCTGTTCAGTTGCCTCTTCTTTAAGGAGAGTGCCTCTGGGTTTCTACTGTGTCTTTCAAAGAGGAAGAAACCAGTGAGTTCCTTGAGCCTCAGGTTCCAGGGATTTGTCCCACCTACACTAGTTTCTATGGAAACCAGAAACTAAAGGCACCTGCTACATCCTTAAACAACCTCCTGGGAGATGGACCTGGGCTGAAGTTCTGAGTAGTTGGTTTTATGTGGATACTCTTCTGGCAAATACTCAGGCTAGGGACCAAAACTCTGGGAAACTTGACCTACATCCCTACTGTGGAAAATGACACATATATACCAGCAGACAAAGAACATGGTCCAGTGAAAAGCAAGGATGGTAGGGGCAACAGGTAGAAGTGAAAAACCTCAGATCTTTGGCTAACAACAGACAGTGGTTGCAGTGTGGTCATGCTTTCTTAGAAGAGGTGATTCCAAAGCACCAAGAAGGGGAGAGGTTGGGATTTTGGAGCCCAGTGTTGCTTACAGACTATGGAAAATGTAAATCAGGAAACTCCAAGGCTCCACTGCAGCGGGCTCAACTAATGGCCAAGTGTTAGAGGGGCAGGGCTTCTCTCTCATGCAGTTGCTTCTTCTCTTTTCCAAGACAAGCCATTGTTTTCTACCTATTGGGCTGGAGCTGTAAGGAAAGGTTTTGGAGAGCAAGGGTGCTAAGCAGTGCATACTGGGCTGACCATGTGAATGGAATGGTCAGCTCCATTGTAGGATTTAATTAGATTGTAGGAGACAGCCTGGCAGAGAGAAGGCTTTAGGAACGGGATGGGGGAAGTCCTGGGGGCCAGGATTGCACTTTGGTCATGGGGGTTTCATGACTGTAAATCCATAATGGACTTTTCTAAGAAAAGCCCTGAAATGTGCCAGGCATGTGGGATGCTGTACCTGGAATCTCTTACTCAAGTCTCAGAGGAGGTGGCCCTTGTCTAGCGCCACTTTGAGAGATTTTTAGATCGTCAAACTGAGCATTTTTGGAGGTAGAGCTAAGCCTCCTTCATTGTTTACAGTTTGAACCCCACCATTGTTGGCTTACTTGGTGACTTACTGTAGTGACTATAGGATGAAATTTTAGCTTTCTCCTTGTGTAGCCTTGTCGGTGGCAGCTCAGATGTAGCTAGCAAAGGTTCTGCTTGAGGGTAGGAAGTCACCGGCTAGTGAGCCACCGCCCAACCCCAGGGTACATGCATGTCTCCCCACTTGGCAACTATTCTCTCCTTGCATTCCACAGTCTAAAATAAGCTCCATTTTTTGTCAGTGTTTCTATTTTAAAATGTGTACTCTTTTGTGAAACCCCAATAAAACCCAAATAGAAATACTTTGCAAATGAGACTTATCAGTCGTGTCAAAGCTACCCAAAGGAGCTTGACTCTTGTGAAGAAATCAGCCCCTTCCCATTTCAGCTCAATTTTCAGTTCCTACTGAGAACCGTAAAATGTGAAAAGTCTTCACATCCCTTCCCAAGTAAAGCTAATTCTCCCAAAGGACAATTGATGTATTAATTTACAGTAAACTTCACATAGAAGTCTGTGATGTTCAAGAAGCTATGCAACCTCTGTATGGCATCTTGACTTTGATCCTAGAGGCACAATAAACAGTTACTATCTTTGGGTAAATAACTGCAAGATAAACTTATATGTCTTTTTTTCCTTTATATTTTACCGGGAGTCACCTTTAATGTCTTGCTCTTAAAGAAGACAGATGTATTGTGGCTTATGTCACAATATTAACATTTATTAGGCTCACAGAAAGATTTATAGTCTTTACAATAGATACAGCCCAGACTGGGGTTCCTGCAAAGCCAGCCCCAGGTTTCTTCAATTTATTATGTGTATTAATTTGTTTAAAAATATCATATTTTTGGTCTTTGCCACTGCTCTTCCCAGTACCACTCCTGCCAGAACGTTATGATCCTCAGCTACATTAACTCCAAGTCACAGGTACTTCACAACATGTGCCTAATGCTTCCTTGAGTGCTTGAGTTAGACATAAAACGCCAAGTTCACATTCTGAAAAATCCACAGCAAAAACCAACGATGTTGTTGCATTATGTCTAGACATCAGATAGTTCAGATCATTTAATTTATCAAGAATCTTTTAAACTAGACTTTTATTTTTAGAGTAACTTTGGGGTCATAACCGTGTTGAGTAGAGCTTGTTTACATTCCCTTACCCCTTGTTCTGCATAGCCTCATTATCAGTATTGGCCACTACAGGGACGTATGTGTTATGACTGACGACTCTTACCAAATGAGTGCTTTATCCCTCTATGTAGGTCCTTCCCACCTCCTTCATCCATGTAGAATAAGAGACAAGGGACAAATGCTTGGATTCTAGGCTTGGGTCAACCTAATACAGTCACTGGTCTATCCTATGCCAATATATTGATATAAATACTTCATCAAAAATTTTAATACCATGATATGAAAGCTCACCTTTCTCTATCTGAAGAATTGGATTAGAGTTCAAAGCATCAGGGATTTTGGATATTTATAGATTGACTTTAAAAGATTCCTTTCTGCACTGATAGACTGAGTGTATATGGCCAGACAACATGTAGGAATAGCGAGCAAACATAGCAATCATAAGCCCCTGACAACACCTGATAAAATACCTGGTATATAAGAGTTCACTTAAAAAATATTGTCGAATAAATAATAGTGTAAAAGTACTATATATCTGCTTTATATAAGACATTGTGTTAAGTGTTTTATCCTTCAAATTCTCATACCAGTCCTTTGAGATTGTTGTCACTGGTATTGCTAGAACTTTGTCAATAAGCAGAGTGGATTAACACTTTCTCTGGACTTGCATGGCTGGACGCTAGACATTTTAGGGAATAAAACTGGATACGCTCTGTTTGAGGACTGGGAAGAATGATCCAATGTGTTTCTATGCCCCATGAGGAAAACTAGATTACGATGTCTATGATTAAGGTGTATATGTTGAAATGAGTTGAAACTAATTGAATATGGGATTCAAACTGTGAGAGACATTGATGAATTTCAGAAGGAGAATATAGGAGGCACGAATGAAATGTTTGATGGGAAGGTGGGAAGTAGGAACTTTTTTCATCATAGTGGTTTTTGTTTAACCTTTTTTGTTTATTAGGAGAAAGTTGTATGTGTGTTTCTAAAACTTTAACAGAACAAAATAGATTAGAATGAAGACTTGCCTTCTTTGTATAATCCTTGCTGTAAATGACAATGTTGCTGGAGTTTCTTGTATTCTTCAAATGCATAGGTTAGATTCTACTAGAGTTGGGAAGGAGTGTTTTAGATGGAGATACAAATCCAGGGCTTCAGTGACGTGAACGCTTGGGTGGAATGGCAAGGGGTACGTTGTAACCAAAAACCTAGGGTTTGTGGCTGAGAAGCTTCTAAATCCTCACCAGGAAACTGGGGAGAAATACTCTCTGTCATCCCACACCTCCAGAAAGAAAATGGAATTCATCTTGATTGTGGAAAGGGAAGAACTTAGACTCATGGTGTCATTTGTTCGTTCATTCATTCACTCAACCCATTTCATTTTAGTATTCACTTTGACAAGAAGCATTTCTTGGGCTCCCATTGTGTCCCATGTACCAGTTAGAACAGAAGTTCTCAACCTGTGGGTCATATCCTCTCTGAGGGTCACATATCAGATACCCTGGATATCAGATATTTACATTACAATTCATAACAGTAGCAAAATTACAGTTATGAAATAGTAACAAAGTATTTTTATGGTTGGGAGTCACTACAACATGAGGAACTATATTAAAGGGTCACAGGGTTAGGAAAGTTGAGAACCACTGTGTTAGAATACCACAGTGAGTAAAAGGTACAATCCCTCTTGAAAGCTTCTAGCCCGGCGGTGGTGGCACACACCTTTAATCCCAGCACTTGGGAGGCAGAGGCAGGTGAATTTCTGAGTTTGAGGTCAGCCTGGTCTACAGAGTGAGTTCCACGATAGTCAGGGCTACACAGAGAAACACTGTCTCAAAAAACAAAAACAAAAACAAACAAACAAAAAAGAAAGCTTCTAACTGTGTGAAGACAATAAGTGTTAAACTAGATAAAATTGTGCTGAGAGGCATGAAGGGGTGATGGAAGAATGGTGGAGGGAGGCTGTAGGAAGCCTAACCTAAACTGAAGTCAGAGAAATCTTCCCTCATCAGAAGGCCTGGTGGGTGGAAGGAACTGGCCAGGCAAAGGGTGGTCCCGGGTTTTAGGCTGGGGAATGAGGAGTGCAAGCAGGGTGAGCAACAAAGACTCAGCCTCTCAACCTCAGACCAGGGATCTTAGTAGGATATCTAGGTTTAAAAACAATCCTTAGACCAGTTTTTTTTTTTCTTCCTTAGTCTACCTCTAGAACTGTGAGGCCCATGAGACCCACCTCTTTTCTAAAAACAAGGAAGGAAGGAAGGAAGGAAGGAAGGAAGGAAGGAAGGAAGGAAGGAAGGAAGGAAGGAAGGAAGAAGGGAGGGAGGGAGAGAGGGAGGGGAGAAAGAGGGAGAGAGAGAGAGAGAAAGAGAGAGAAAGAGAGAGGGAAAGAGGGAAAGAGGAAAAGAAGAATGTAGCAAGATGATAAAAGCATATATAAAATATCAGAATGAAGCAAAAAATAAGGTTCTGAGGTAGAACCCCACTTTGTCAAAGGCTCAGCTAAATCCTGAAAGTATCAGGCCACTGTTCACCTGCCTGTGTGAATCACTCCCCCATCAAAGCAAGGAAAGTGAGTCGGTGTGAGGAGCAGAAATGTTCCTTCCCAGTCTCTTCTAGTAAACAGGGTTGACTGAATCATAGGCTTGCTGGAAACCCCTCATGAGGCAGGAGGATGTTTCAGGAACAGAGACTCCATTTGAAGGCTTTTATAGCCCCGCTTATGTTTCCATTTGTGCTTGGGTGGAGATGACCTCAAGTGCCCTCCAGGCTCAACTGTCATGGGAGCAATTACGTCATCTTTCTTCTCATGTGTTTGGGTGTTAGGGTCTCCTCCTGGAGAAGCTTTGATTCCTTATGTATGGACTGTCTTCATCTGCCCCATTGGTTTCCTTTCATCCTTTCTCCTATTGACTTCTATCTTTTATTTGTTTGTTTATTTGGCGACTTCCTACCCTGCTTTTCTTTTCCTCTAATCTATTCTGTACTCTGAAAGTACAAAAACAAACAACAGCAACAACAACAAGCCTGCAGCATCCTGCGACAGGAAAAGGTTGTATGGGAGAAGTTTGGAGAATGAAGGGTTAACAGTTTTAGAAATGGTAAATGTCTCCATTTCCTCCTTCTTCTCCATATCAAAATCAGTTTAAAATGTCATCAGTATGAGAGTGATTCTGTTTTGAAATGTTCAGAAACGACATTTATGGAAGCATTCCCAGACATATATACATACATTCAGGGGTCCATGTGTTGCTTTCAGTCTTCCCTGTTTCTTTTACATAGAGAAACTCGGGTTCAGGACGCAAGGGACCAAAATGTATCTTGGGTACATTGTTACAATTTGGGTGTAAAGCCATCAGAGGAGGTGTGTTGTCTTGAACTGTCAGGCATTCTTGAGTGTGGCTGGAAAAAAGGCCCAGTGTGCTTCCCAGGGTACCCTTGTGAAAATAGCACCAGACAACCACAGTAAAACTAAGCCTCCACTTTAACTGAACAGTGGGCTGAGTACTGTGTTTTCAGGGGAAATATTAGCAACGGCCCAAAGACCGAGTTCCTTAACACCTACCACACTTTCTTGTAACAACCATGCCCCAACCCCACTCATCCTGACTTTAGCCCATGTAGAGAACGTTTTCTTTTTCCCCAAATCACTAGTATTTAATTAACGTGGGTTGGGTCATTTAGTAGACAGTGTAGGGATTTCAAGGCATATGGATGTCAAGAATATTTTGGCCGTTTCACCAGATTTTCCAGTAGCTCATCTTTCCCACAATTGAGAAGGGGTCTTTTCTAGACAGACCTGTTGCAGAAACAGGTGGGTTTATTCTACCCGTTTGAATCTCTTATCAGATAGAGCAATCTGTGCTCACTGAGTCATGTGTTCCTACCATGAACATTAACTTATGGTTAAATTAAGTTGTATATATGTCAGGCTAAGGTAAACAGAAGCTTTGCCAAGGGTAATAAGGCTTTCAGCCCTTGCCAATTGAACAGATATTTATTTCAGAGCCTGCCTGTGCCAAACACTGTATCAGGTCATCAGAAACAAACAGGGGCATGAAGTTCATTCTCTAGAGAAGGACTATATTCAAGTGGGACAGACAGCAATACAAATGAATAAATGTGCATTTAACACCAGGTAGTGACAGCAAGGGCAATGGGCAGGAGGTGTGTCCTGGATAATCTGTCAGAGAAAGCCTCTCAGAAGACAGAATTCTCTGAGCAGGCACCTAAAATAAAGTAAGGCACTGAGAAGTTCAGGTACACAAGGGAAGAACTCTCCAGAGACAAACAGTGAATACAGAGGTTCAGAGGCCGGAAAGTTCTTGATGAGGTTACAGAGCAGGGAAGTTATATGGCTATAGTGCTTTGAAACTTTGAAAGCCAGAGAGTGGGCAGGGAACGGGTTTGGAGCAATGCTAAATTTGCAGTGAGAAGATTCAAGGGCTATGAACTTTGTAAGGGCTAGAAAGCCCTGGAAGATTAAAAGTGATAGAAAAACTAAATCAGGCATGGTTTTGAAGGATCACTCTGTCTGAGGTCTAAACGCTAGGAGATTAGCTGGCAGAGTGGTAACAGCTAGGCCTGTGGTGATGGCTCAGGAAGGAATGGCAAGCAAGGGCTTCTGTGTGGAACCAACTTGGGAATCAGAGCCAGCAGAATTTTCTGTCAAGACTAAATGTGGAATTTGAGAAAAGATAGACTCAAAGGTCTTCCAATGCTCTCGGCCTGAGAAACTGGTCACGCCTGAACAGAGTTCTTTGCTAAAGCAGGATGCTATTTAAACTTCCAAGTGCCCATCTGTGTAGGCAGTGGAGTCTATAGTGAAAGAAATAGACATAGTCTATAACTGTAAATACTGCAGGTATGTCAGACTGTGGAGCTAAATGAGAAATAGGTGTAGATAAGGAAGAGAAGGAAGCCTGAACCTGGGCACAGACTGATACTTAGAGATCTCAAAGAACAGAAGTTTCCCCCAAGGAAACTAAGAACGATAAAAGAAAAAAAAAACTACAATCCATGGAAATGTAGTATCCTGGGGACCAAATGCAGACCATGTTTAATGGAGGGGTGATGAACTACGCCATGGGTTCCTGAGAAACACGCAAGGCAACGATGGAGAATTAACGAACTTGGCTCTGTGTAGCAGACATCTTGGCAAGCATGATCCCATGAGAATTTGGAAGAATAGTTACTTGAAGTGGGTACATAGAAAATTGGGTCAGGAAGTAAAAGCAGAAAACATAAGCAGATGTGCAAGAGCCTTCCAAAAAGAAAATGAAAATAGCCAACTGGCTGAGGGTAAACCTGGGTCTGAGAAGACTTCTTTCTTTCTTTCTTTCTTTCTTTCTTTCTTTCTTTCTTTCTTTCTTTCTTTCTTTCTTTCTTCTTCCTTTCCTTTTTTAGATGTGGGTAATTAACTGTTTGTACGTATGTATATGTTGTTGAAAGGATTCCAGGAGGCAACTGATAGTGCAGGGAGTGGGTTACAGAGGCAAAGCCTGAAAGCACTCGAGTGCTCCTCTGGAGAGCCTTGGATGTGAGCACGGGCCATTCCTCCAGGTAGATAGGCTGACTGGGACTACCATAGATTGAAACGAAAAGGGAGGTAAACCCTGAGAGAGGAGGTAGAAGGGCAGGTTGTGGCTTTGAGAACAGTGGAGGTATTAAATATTCAGCACTAGAATCCCTGAGAGTGGTTTGAAAGAGCTTTGAGTTTTTGTAGGGGGTTTCCCCTTTGTTCTTGTTGGTTCAGCATTTTTAAAAAAGGGAAACCAAACAATCTCTTATCTCTTATCCTAACTATCTCAGGGATTGCTGGAGAAGCAAGGTTCCAGTGTGAGCACAAACAGCATCTCCTTCCTGGTTCTCACAGTCCTCTGCCTCTTCTCTGCCTCTTCTCACCTGACTTGATGCTTCTGGAACCATGTTTCCCTGGGCTTCTTCTCACTGTTGCCCACTCTTCACTGTGCATATAGAACCTTGGCAGAGAAATGACAGCCTAAGGTTCTAGTCCTGACTCTGCCACTCACTACTGTCTCTTTAAGGGACTCATTTACTTTCCTTCTGTGCCTTTGCTGTTCAGTCTGAGTTGAGAGAACCCTCATGTAAGTGATTTGAGGATTTCCACCGGATGCTCTGAAATACTGAAGTTATGGTTAGGATTCTAGTAGGAATCCTTGTAGACCACCACCTGATAATATGAGATAGTTCAAGAGGTAAGGAGAGTCTCAGCCTGTCTTTCTCTATTCTCAACACAATGAATGTCTCCAGATCTCCCATCATAAGGAGTTATCTTTCCCTCCTTCCCTCAGGTGGAGGTGTGATGGATTGCTCAGTGATTCTCCAGAAGCTGGGACATGACACATGGCTGCCCCTGACAGATGAACATCAGATAAATAAGAGTGTGAACAAAAGCATCCGCATCCTTGTCACGATGGCAACATCTCCAGGAAGCACAACCAACAAGAAAATAGTGTCTTTTGATCTGTCTAAAGGGGGCTACCCAGATCACCTGGAGGATGGCTACCAGTTTCAACCAAAAAACCTGAGCCTGCGGATCCCGGAGGCCAGGCGGGAGAGTGAAGGGTTGTACTTCGTGAGCGTGGAGGAGAACGTGTCAGTTCAGCAGTTCTGCATGCAGCTGAAGCTTTATGGTAAAAATGGGAATTTTTATACTTCACACAGGAGGGCCTAGAAGGTTCTCAGTCCCAGAGTTCAGGCCTTTCTCAGAAGTAGAATGTCTGGAATTGGAAGCAACTTGAAAGATCAGGTCCAACAAGCATTTAAGCTTTGACAAATGGACATTTCTGTTTTTTCTTCCCGTTGGTGGAAGTTGATTTGATTCCTGTTTTGAAAGGAAGGGAACCCACTGTGTGGGAGCTTAAGGGCTGGCTTGGTTTGCATATCAATTTTTTAATAAAAATATTTTTTTTCTAACAAGCTTGACTTTTACAAAGTTTGACTACAACTGAGCCAACCCCAATCCCCTTTTATTTGGCAGACTCCAGCAACAAGCGATTTCGAAGGCGCTTGCTCACACTTGTGTGGGTTGTTGGCTACAGTAGAGCTTCTGAGTAAAGAGAGCTGATATTCCACCCACAGGCAGTTCACCAAGCCCAGAGCCTTGGGGGAGGCTTCCACCTACATGGTGAACAAAACACCTCTTTTCTCATTTGAACCAGCATCTGCTTATGTAGTTATTTGGTTGTGGGCCTGTAGAACCTACATCTAGCTGAATCCAGCACTTTTCTGAGCCCCTTTAACCTCTGCTCCTGTCTTTGAAGACACCTAGATTCCTATCCTTTAGGCCCTGAGGCTCATCTGCTTCCCAAGGCTTCCTGACAGCTGTGTGGGGCTGTCTTTCAAAAGGATCTTACCAAAAATGGGACAGGGAGCCCACAGCCAGCATTTTATTGGAAGCTGCAGCTTTCTAGGAGAGAAAGAGAAACCTCTTGACTCTCTCCTGTCCCAGCACTTTCCCCTGCAAACAGAGAATGCAGAGTGCTTGTAGCCCTCGCTGAGTGTGCACAGAGGCCGCGCAGCATGTGTTTTTTAAATAACGTAAATGTTATAGAATCTGTCCTTTTGTTCTTGTGAGTTTACTGATTTTGCCACACATTATATAATCAGCTGGGTGGTCTCTGCAGCCAGGACTTTCTTTGGAGAGAGAGAGAGAGAGAGAGAGAGAGAGAGAGAGAGAGAGAGAGAG